TGTATGTACTTTGCCGCCGAAGTGTTGAAGCTGGCCGGAAATGCAACCCGGGATAGTAACGTACAAAAACAGAATCATTCCAAGGCATCTTTTGTTGGCCGTGAGGAAAGACAAAGAGCTTGGGAAGTTGCTGAGCGGAGTAACTGATGAAAACGGTTAGCAACACAAGAGGGGGTGAATTGTGTGTGTGTGGAACCGTGGCAGTTTTTCGCCGAGTTCTAGTGTGGGATAAAGGGAATTGCGAAATAGTAAAGTGCACAAGAATTTAACGAGGAAAAATCCCTTGGCTCAAAGGGATTAAAAAACCTCGACCTCCCTCGGAGGAATTTTAACAACTTCACTAAAAAGCCTTTGAATGATTACATGGGAAACTCTCCTAGTCTACCCTTGAGCCACCCCAACTCTATCCTCTTTAGGAAGAGTTACGCTTATCTACCTTGCGGGTAGAGAGCCTCTCAGCTTTACAACAAAGCTTTCACAACACAAACCAACCCGAGGAGGCTACTCTTAGCCAATCCTCAAAACCCCATTACAATATGAAGAAGGGAAAGAAGAAACTATATCTAGAACTCCGAGTGAGCAGTTTCAGATGCCTTGAACTTCGTATTTTTCTCGAGCCTGTCTCTTGATATTTCTCTGGTTAAGCACACCACTTTCGTCTGGTCTTCAGTCTAATATATATAGCATCCGTAGCCTCTCCTTTCCTTGGTTGAATATTTGGACTTTCCTTGATATTTTGAATTACCTTCTTTGAATAATATGTCTCATAGTTTGAGCTAAAAGCATATGTCAATTATATTGATAGACACAAGATATTCTAGTAGCACATAAGAATATGTCAATTGAGAAAATATCCAATGCATACAACGGTCTCAAGGTAATATGGAAAGCAAAGAATATCTCTTCCTATTATAGCAAGAAGCAACAGTTCACACTAGGTAAGCAATATTCTATTCAAAAATATTTGTTAAAATATTCAATCATGGATGTAGATAAATTCGTATAGAAGGTGATGCAATCAAATCATATCCTAGACAATCCACCAAAATAATTCCATTTAAGTAAGATAGCCTTTTATAAAAAAGCTACGGTTCATGCCAACAATCATTTAAAATATTTTAATCAAAGATAGCTTTATGGAAAGAAAATATTTACTTTATCAATTATAGGAATCACATGGTCAACTTTCATAAAGCAAGCCATTATTAGCCCATAAATGTTAAGTCCAATCAATGCATATGCTTAGCAATAAAGTAATAATATTTATTTAATATTAAAGTAAGACAACTACTTTTTCTAGCAAATCTAAAAGCATCGATCCACTATTATAAAGATAGTAATAACACTTTCCATGAGCTATACGTATTAATGCATTCAATCAAAATATCAAATCAAATATGAAAAGATATTAACACACATGAGACACATATTTAATTATGGGCATGAATATCTTATGTAGGACTTGGGACAATTCTGTCCATTGTTCATATTAGAACACATCGTAGTTCTATCACTTTATCCACCTGCATGGTTAGTGATCAATATAAACATAATTTGTCCATGTGGACCTGGGAGTTGTTCTGTCCGTCGTTCCATCTGTATGGTTAGTCATCAACAAAACGAAGCACGACTTAACTTACTTTCCTGCAATCACTTATAGATCAAAAGTAACATTAGTTGTTTGTCATCAACAAAACAATATGTTCCAACAGTAACCATCTCACACGGAGGCGTTTTGCGCGGCCATCATTAAACGGCCTGTCTTGATGTCGACGTCATGTAACCTAAAAAGGCCGCCAAGTCTCCAAAGAGTCCTTGCTTTCAAACTGACGTGTTGCAAAGTGAAGTGTGGTGTTATAATTATTCTTATTTTTGAGAATAGTTTCCATCCCAGCCATACACTATATGAATCTCTCACATTTTCAAGGATAGAAAGTTCAAATGTTTGAAATTGAGATTTGTAAAATGAGTCTCTTGCAACACAGATATTGCTTAACAATTGTTTTCAAATCTTTGTATTGTCCTAATTAAAATTTAGCTAGGGCTATCTATTTGTCTAGCTTTATATATGGCTTGCTTAAAATTTCAGGGTTTTGTTAAAATGATAAATAATGTAGAATAAAAAACATAAGCAACTGAACATATATTTTCCAAGTGGACTCTATTGATACTGGGCACTAGCTAGGTTCTTCACCAAGTTATAAATGGTAAGGTTCAAGATTTTGTTCTAAACTCCCATTATTTTCACGCACTGGTCCTCAAGTAAGGCATGTCAATCTGTTGCTGTTACTACAAACCTTCTTTTTTATTATAGATATGAAACCAGCAAATTAATGTCATTGATCTCTTAAAAGGATTATTTAAATTTTAGAGAATGCTCAATGTATATTATTTAACGTGTATGTATATTATACACAGGGACGGATCCAGGAAATTGACTCAAGGGGGGCGAAACTTTTCGTTAGTGTAGATGGCGAAAAATTTTTCGTTAATGTAGCGGCGCGAATTTTTTTTTCATAGTGTAGTGGGGCGAATTTTTTCGGTGTTGTAGGGCTATGCGACTATTTTAATTCAAAAAATGACATTAATACATACACATTCCCAACGATATTTAAATCTATTACATTCTAAGTTTAGACAATGACAAAGATATCAACCAATACATTTTAAATAACTTCTACATTGTTTAACCTCATGAATCGGTTATTGAATTGTAATTTTTGTCTACCAAGGAGGGTGTTCGTGAGTCATGACTCATGAGAAGTTTTCTTAATATTACAACAGTAATATTTATGCGATTATTATTTTTAGATAATATGCACCACATATTATATATATGGTACATATTATATTTTAATATTTGTATTAATGCTATAATAATTTAAAGTTTATTATCTATGCAATAAATTATTTTTTAGAAAGCAAGAAGTAAACAAATTATGTACTTTAATTTCAATAAACATTTATATTTTGGATCATTTCACGTGATCTAAATACTGTGTAATTAGTGTGTCTGATATTTAATATCATTTGATATATATTTTACAAAATCCAGTACTTGTTATCTAATAAAGATAATTAAACATTACAAAACTAGGAATTTTTATATAATAAGTATCCCAAATCTTAAACAACGAGTTATTCTATTGTTTATTTGTTTAAGCTATGTAAATTATTTTAGATGTTACTTCTTTCAAATCTCCAATTAACTATTACATAATGTAAGACTATATGTTAATTTTGAAAATTAAAAGCTAAGGGGGGCGAATCTAATTAAATTATGAAAGTTCTATGAAAATATTACATATATGGTAGAAAATTTTGAAAATCCAAGGGGGGCGGTCGCCCCCCCGCGCCCCCCCTAAATCCATCCCTGATTATACACATCTCAATGTACGGAGTATATATTATATTCTGTAGGTTTCTCACCATGCATGTTAAAATAGAATAAGATAAATGCATTCAAATAAATACAATGAAATGCGTAGTACTACGTAATAGTGGTAGGTAGACTAGCTTACCAAGGAATTGAAGAAAAGTACAAAAGAATGATTTTGTAATAATCTCTATAAATGAAGTAATATAATCTCTATAATAATCTCATGGAGTATATTTTAGAAGTAAAAGTTTTCACGGGGCGAAGTGTGACATATAAGTTTTGATTCCAATATTATTCTTTGACTTTTCTAGACTACAAATTCAAATAAGACAATTTCCAATAATGACCGTTTACGCTATTATATGACTATAAACAATAGTCGGAGTTAGTCTCTCTCATGTTAGATTGCGATTAAAAAACCAATCTTCTTATTACGTTCAAACCATATTACATCTTCAATTCCAGACTACAAATGATGTATACAAAAAAGTTTTCCCAAATCTAAAGAGGTAATGTGCATATTTATATTGCCTATTCAATTGAAATCAAATTTTTGTAAAGATTTTTCATTTTTAGTAATGGTAATATTGTAAAAATTTGGCTATAATTTTTTGTCCTTGCATCGCACGGGTGAGATACTAGCTTATCATTCTTATCAGTCAATTTTTATTTACAAAGAACATAATTTTTGTTTTTGTTTATTGAATTGGGTAATAATCAAATGTAAGGTTGAAATTACTGTAGATATTTTCATATAATTTTTTCTTTATTTTATTAGTAAAATAAAATATACTTTTAATACAAATTTTTCATATTTCAGTAGATTCATAATTTCGTTAATTTCTCCAAATTTAGTCAATTCAGTCAAGTGAATGTCTTTAAAAGTATACCTTCTTATTTCACATTATCACCTATATATACTAATTTGCGAAGATAATTGGATAAATGGTTCTTCATTAAAGCCTAAAGCTTATGTATTATGTTTCATTTACTATGACGGTTAGTTTTTCTTTACTTTGTTCATATTGTCAATTTGTCATATACTACATAGTACTACTTTTACATAATGTATTTTTTAATAAGCTTAATTCAATTGTATTAGAAAAAGGCTTTATTCATTTTATGAAAACGCACACACAAAAAGATTTTGGTGAGTTCATTATGTTTTTGTATTTGTGTTATATTTAATTTTACTTGCTTCAAGTTCAAAAAGAACATTTACCCCTTACATCACGCGGGTGCAACAAATTGTAAAAGAATAATATATACCATTCAAATGTTGTCTTCAAAGAAGTGTTTCAAAATCTTCATATTTTTACACGTCATTTTAGGCTAAGAAACTTTGTCATGTGTGTTAACTAAAGATTTTAATTTTCTTATGTTTCATTTTTACATTTATATATTACTCTTTGATTTATAATACTTGGATTAAATATTTTGGTCATGCATCGCACGGGTGAGAATACTAGTTTCATAAAAAAAACACTTTTTAAAAAGTAGAAGCTGTTGCAAACAGACCCTGAATCAAGTTTACCGTGTCTCGGTCCGAGTAGCTTCCCATTGCAGGTAATCGGGTTTGACCCGTGGCTCAATTTTTTCACTTCTACAGACATTTCAAGTGTCTTCATATATTGATGCGGAGTATATGCATAATTGTATACTCTATTACTCTGTTCTACGTAATTTGCGAAGCTAAAATAGTAAAATCCCATTCTCGTTCATCTTTTTTTATTTTTAGAATCTGATTGAAACCACTGTTTCACAATGGTAGAGATGGAAGAGGCGAGAGTAAGATTGAAAGCAATTTCATGTGGAGCAGTAGAAGAAGATGGTTCGAAAGAGGGCAATTTATTTTCTGAATTGAAGCACTGCTGTGTACAGTTATTGGATTTCCTTCAAAAGCCCAAGAAAAACCCATCTTCTACATTCTCTCAACTTCTGTATCTTCTACAACGAGCACCTCCTTGCTCTATTCAGCCTCTCTTCGAGTAAGTCTCTATGAACTCATGTATTCACTTATTTCCCCCCCTGCGAAATTTATTAATACTCCCTCAGTGACGTAGGTTCTCATTTCTGTGTTAGGACCTATTTTAGGAAATAATAATCAGCACACAACTAAAGGTTACCTCATTATATTATACGGATTATACCCTTCAAAACTACTGAGCATTTCTGAAAATATTATCGAATAACCTCATTTAATTATTGTCTAAATAATCGTGTCATTCTTCACTGAAAAAGCTTAAGCCTGGACAGAGGTAGTATTATTTTACGAGATAATTTGGGCGATTAGTTACAAGAAAATGAGTAATGTACATTGCTAAGAGATGATTTTTTTTTGCTAATGAATTGTGACAGTTGATTTTGTTGTATATTGGAGCTTGGTGATCAAGTTTGGACTGGGTAAATTAGAACTTGAAGAATTCTTGTGATTGGGAGTTACAATTTCTTGTGTGTTGAAACTTAAGACACGCTTAGCCAGCATTTTGGAAATTTCTTATTGAATTTGTTTCTTAGTAGATTTACTGGGATGCCTTAAAAACAGACCACTAGTAAATGGATGATTATATAAACCATTCCGTCATGATAAATTCATTTTAATATCAGACTACTATGTTGAATATTTGATTTTGTGTAATTATTACGTAGTATAATCTAGCTGAATGTAGCTGAGAAACTGTTCATACATAATGGTACAATTTGAATGATCTTTAAGAATTTCATGTATACACGGCATTACATTTTACTCGATTTTTTATGCCAAGGGGGAAAAGTTTTCAACTCACTTAATTTTGTGAGTCACAGTGAACACAGTTATGCATTCAATACTTCTTTCTTCCATATTCTGCTTAGCTTCCGATAGCTTAATGTGCAGATTCTTATTAATTTTTCCAGTTACACCTTGTTTCCGCTGCTGCTTTTGTTCGATGCAGCAGTGAATTGCAGATCTTCATCAAAGACCAATTCTGAAGACAGAGTGTTATTGGTTAGTGACTCACAACATGCTGTCAGTGATGCTGTGGCTGAAGCCACACTCCTTTGTCTGGAGGAACTCCTTAAGAAATGCTATTTAGGATCTGTTGATCAGGTATTAATGATTCGAAGGAATCTCCCATTGGCTTGTTTAAAAATTCAATTAAAGAATGTGTGACCCATGTCCTTTTTTATCACTGGGTGCTCTCTGTGTGTACTTTATTTTCTTAAATGTTTCCTTAGTCATAGTTGTTCAAAGTTGGAGTTCCTACTCTTTACCTTATCTAGTTTGGATTTTAATGATTTGTGCACTGGGTTATTTTTTACTAGTAGCAGTGGAGTTCCAAAAACATAAATTGGTTAGTACTTGTAACAGTGATCCATAAAAAACTTTTAAATATTTTTGGTATTTAATTGACCATGTATGCAGATGGTTGTGATCCTTAAAAAACTGACTCATGGGGCATTGCTCTCTCCAACTGAGGCATCAGAAGAGTTTCGTGAAGGAGTCTTAAGGTGTTTCAAGTGGCTGTTCCTTAATCTCCACCCTTGTTTTGACAAAACCTGTCCATGCAAACAAGTTCGTGGTTGCCCCAATCTTCTACACAGAGATGATGTTCAATTTCCAGCTCCTGCAGTTTCATTATCTAATGTAGTTCTACAAGAATGCTTATTAGAATTCCTTAACTCTGAACCTGCTTCACCTATTGTTGGACACTGGCTTTCACTTTTGCTCAAGGCATGTAAGTTGTACATATTTACTGTTAATGACCTGTGTCACAGAATATTATTGCTATTCCACATTTCCACCCCCTCCCAGGCGGCAATCTGGGATAAAATATTGACTTGAGTTATATGTGTGTAGGCTGCAGATATTGAGTCCATGCGAGGACATCGAGGCAGTTCGAGGCTACGTGTGGAAGCTTTCGTTGCATTTAGAGTGCTTGTTGCAAAGGTGCTGTCATTATATATCATCTTCTTATGAAAATTTCTATTACGTTATTCTATTAATAGCATTTTAAGATTAAGATTAAGGATCTCCTTTTCGTCGTGGGTGCTTAATTACACATTTCCTTAAAAAATTGTTTCTTCCTCACTGCACATTAACTACTTTATGCGGAGTATGATACATCGTGAATCTATTTTTGAATTCTGATCCAATTGATGATCTAATTGATGAATTATGTATTCATATTGTATGTGATTTACATGTTACCCAAGTCATCTGTTGGTGCGAGGAATAATCTGAAAGGATCTTCGTACTTGCAATAAATAAAAAAGAATTATTTCTGTGATGTGGTTTATTCATAGTTCCTGTAACAATCTGCACTTTGAGAGTTTGAGGCCTTCACCTTGTAGATTTTTTTTACATATTGATCAAGAAGAAAATAATAACTTAGTGCTTCCTAAGGAGGAATGGGAAACACCTTAAAGGCCTATCCTTGTGAATTTACTCATCATATCAAAAGTGGAACTTGATGTCTAACTTCACGCATGCAGGCTGGCTCTGCAGACACACTTGCATTCTTTTTACCAGGTGTTGTTAGTCAGATTGGGAAAGTGCTGCATTTATCAAAAGCTATGATTAGTGGAGCAGCTGGTAGTGCGGAAGCCCTAGATCATGCTATTAGAGGTTTTGCAGAATACCTCACTATAGTTCTTGAGGATGATGCTAATACATCTGATCTTAAGATCCCTATGCATGACCTGCCTGGAATATCTTCAAGAGAGGAGAAACCAATTGATTTTTTCCTGGAGGAACTTCGTCAACTCCCTGTTAGACATCAAGGGGGCGATCATTCTGAGCATGTAACAAAGTCTATGGAAAAGGGTGTAATGGTGCCTGGCTCCAGAGAAAATGCTCAGAGCAGTTCTAATAGCAAGGGTGGATCATTGCGAGTTAAGCGTACAAGAGAGTGGATCGAGAATACTTCTGCTCATGTTGATAAACTCCTGTCTGCAACTTTTCCGCACGTAAGTTGTTCATGATATTCCATAAACTACCATTAGCTTCTTCACTCTGAACTTGAATTACTGAAATCAGCACTCTTGCATCCCTTAGCTTTGCATTCATCCAACCAAAAGAGCAAGACAGGGAGTTCTTGCCGCTGTACAAGTGCTTTTATCAAAATGCTGTTACACATTGGAGCCAAGCAGATTAATGCTTTTGGTGAGCTTGCATCCTTGTTTTTTTAACAATTTCTTCAAGTGGGATCCGCCAATGATGCTATTACTGCGAAACCATTTTACTCCAAAAACCTAAAGTGATTTACATGGCATGCCGCATGAATTGATCGGATCCCTCTATTGATCTGCTCTGGTTGTTTATATGCACTTGTTGCTCATGTTGGTGCTTGTTGGACTTTCAGTATATATAAATACACACACACACTACGCATATATTAGGGTTGGTTTTTTGTGTTTGCGTCTCTTGTATTTCTTTCTTTTATGTAATTCCCCCCCTTTGTCATTAATTAAATTCCCTTTTCCATTAAAAAAAATATATATACATATTATAATGTGTGCATATAATGGTTACAAACTTACAACTTGCAATGCAGGAGTGCTTATGTGTCTTGGTATGTGATGATTCTGATGAGGTCTCGTCGGATGCTCAGAGATTTTTCAGACTTATGCTCTTGTCCAGGGGAAAACATCAGCTGGAACATGATATCTCTGAAATCTTTAGCAGGTGAAGTTTGTCCAACTCTGCTTTAAATTATATTAATGATGGCCTGTCTGTGGGTTTGATAGCGTGGGTCAGAATTCCATATACAGGCTTGTTGAAAGACTTCCACAAGTACTTATGAGCAGTCAGGCGCCACTTGCATTATCACACTCCCAGAAATTACTTGCAGTAACATATTTCTGTGGTCCCAAACTTTTGGCAGACTACCTTGTCCATTCTCCAGTACTCTCTCTCTCCTCTCTCGTGTGGTATTTTTCTAATACGTTGTCAGATGAAACAAGGAATTGTATTTATCGTGAAATTGCTTTTACAGTAAAAGGGTTATTGTGCTTCCCTCATATAGTGTGCTCTTGCTTTTGTATTTCGCCTCTCTTCCTATTAAGCTTTCATGATATCACGGCTAAAATAGGAAAAAGAAGTCAATGACTTTTCTCTCTTGTTCCTGTGATGACATATTTAAACATACACATGACAAGTTTCATGTAATTATTGACGAGAAATTACCTCTTCCAGTCAAGCTTAGAAAGGTTTAAGTCCTCTTCCTGAGGAGACTTGTATCATGATCGTGCAGGTCAAGGCTACTAGATTCTTGGATGTATTTTTCTTTTGTCTGAGTCACAACTCAGTCTTTGCTGGTTCACTTGACAAGCTTGTGTCGGCAAGACCTTCATCCTCTGGATTTATGCGGTCAATAGCAGAATTGAGGGCTGTAATTAATGCCAAGCCTGAAAACTCAGAGAGCTCTGATATTCAAAACAGGAAAATGCTATTGATACCTGAAAATATACAGGCTGAGAGTGAGTATAAGCTTCCGCACATGCCACCTTGGTTTGTTAACACTGGCAGCCAAGATCTTTACCAGGCTTTGGCTGGAGTTCTTAGACTTGTAGCTAGATGTTTATTTGCAGGTATGTTGTCTGCCCATATCATTTTTATTACTATTTTGTTTGTTGTTGTTAGAGTTTTTCTAATGTGTTGCCAAGGGCATATGATCACATACTTCATTTTTAAGTTAAAAGAAAGGATTTAAGAAATTGACATAATGATCCTTTAAAGTTATACGTTTATCAACATTACCAGGGATAGTTTGTTTAAGTTATAAGCATTAATACTCATTAGTTGCTTCTTATCATGTGCCCCATGGGTACAGTTCGGAAAATCCCTTATTGTTAGTATTGTTATTCAAATAGTTATGTTTCTAAAACCTAATGTTAGTCTTCTGTTTTGTTTGTCCAGACTCACAAATTGAAGACTCTCTATCTGTTATTGTTGATATTCCACTTGTACACTTGCGTAAATTAATTTCTGAGATACGAATGAAAGGATACCATAGTGAAAGCTGGCTGTCATGGTATATGAGAACAGGTTCAGGACACTTGGTCCGGCAGGCTAGTACTGCTGCATGTATATTGAATGAAATGATGTTTGGCATTTCTGATGAAGTTATGACTGCCTTTGAAATGATCTTTGGGAAGTCCAGTTTAGGAGTGGATTGTGGGTGCTATAGTGCTGATGGTAATGATGAGTCTTGTGAATTCCTGTGTAATGCTCAAAAGGAATGTGTTTGGAACGTCGATAAGGATGGAAATTCAAGGAGACATCTAATCGACTGTATTGGTAACATATTACATGAATATCTATCCTCCGAAATTTGGGATCTTCCCTCAGAGAGAAGAGACATTCACCCCCATTCTGATAGCGAAGAAGGAAACTTAAATTCATACTTTTTCCATGATAATGCAATGCTACATCAGGTAACATCCATTTCTCTCCTGATTTTTTTACTGTCCCGAAAATTGCCAGATAGAATTTATACTTGTGAAATTTGCTTATTCAGTTTTGCATATATTCTCCTCAACAGGTTATTATCGAGGGAATCGGCATATTTAATATTTGTCTTGGGAAGGAATTTTCGTCATCTGGGTTCCTCCATTCTTCACTTTATATGCTGCTTGAGAGTGTTATCTGCTCAAATTTTCACGTCAGGAGGGCATCTGATGCTGTTTTGCATGTTATCTCTGCTATAAATAACTGTCCATCGGTGAGTTCTGAGTATGCAATGCTTGACGTCAGTGTGTACTTGTTAATGATAATGAACAAATAAATTAACTCTTGCAGGTCGGTCACTTGGTATTAGCAAATGCAGACTACGTAATTGATTCAATATGTCAGCAACTGCGTCATTTGGATCTTAATCCTCATGTTCCTAATGTACTGTCTGCCATGCTTTCTTATGTTGGAGTTGCTGATAAAGTATTGCCATTACTGGAAGAGCCGGTATGATATATTTTCTGGAAATAAACTTTTTCAGTTTAACTTGTCCTTCCTGATCATTGGTATTTCCAACGGAGAGGTCTTTCTACTTTGTCTGTTTACTGTGTCTAGATGCGTGCGGTGGCTATGGAGCTTGAGATTCTTGGCAGGAGCCAGCACCCACATTTGACCACCTCCTTCTTGAAGGTATTACCTGAGACAAATTCACCTATGCTGCTTTATATGTTTAATGAGATCATATACTTTTTCATCTGTTTCTCTCGGATATCATTCTTAACCTTATTAATTCATTTTCATGTGCAAATGTGCTTATTATTTCTACTCTCACAGTCTCACTAAACGTAGTATGACCCTAGGAACTTTTGGAATTATCTCAGTTCTTTTGAAATCAAGCATCCGTATTATACCACCTCTAGAAATTAGGCTCTTCATAAAAAAAAGAAGAGCAGTGTTTGGCCAAAATAAAACATTTTCTTTTTGGTAAGGCGCAACGTTTAAGTCGTTGAATCCAACTTTTACTTTTAAATTTTATTTTCTTGTTTAAATAATTATTGAACTTGTTTAGAAATATGTTTTAGCAAATCACATGAAAATTAACATGATTTTATGAAACACGGCTCTTTTTTGGGGAATCATAGTTTCTTCTGTTGGCAATCATGGTGGTTTCTTTTTTTTCTTTTTGCAGGCTGTGTCTGAAATAACAAAGGCTTCCAAGAAAGAGGCTTGTATGCTGCCAAAGAAAGCAGAGTCGTTTCTGAAGGAAGTCAACTCTGAAATATCAAAAGTGGACCAGGGTAAGGGCAAGCTTTCTTCTTTCACTTCACGTTTTTGAAATTGCTAAGGATTTCTTTCACTTCATGTGTTGAAAATGCTAAATGATAAATTACAGAGAATGCATAAATTTTACTATCTAGAAATGCATACTCGCATGCATATATTTTGAAAATCTTGTTGTGGATTACCAAACTTTCATTCAACCTCACGTCACCTATGATGTACACTTTTTTCCGAAAAAGAAAAGAACTTTGGTTATTATAATGACTCACTGATAGGGACACATCTAAACCAAACAAAGAAGATAAATACTTTGGAAAAGTTTATTCCAGAAGAAGTAGTTAGACTAGTAGTTATTAGTTAAAATTCTGTAACAGCTATTAAATAAAGTCGGTTGAGCTGGACTACTATAAATATTAAATAGAAGGTAGGCTGGGAGGGGAAGGCAGGCTGTTTAGACTTTTGTCTTGGACTGGGAAGTTAGGGATTAATCCTCTCTTTCTTTGGGGGCTTCGGCCATTGGGAGCTTCGGCCATTGTTCTTGTTACTGTACATCTTCAATAAAGATTTCAGTTGCTTTCTTGATATTGTTTTCTGTAATCTTTCTGGATATCTTGATAGTTCTAATATTGGTATCAGAGCACGTCACTTCCTGGACACAGAGAATCTGAATCATCAGAACGATGGAGGAATTCTATATGACACCGCGAATGGAAGAGAGTTTTGATAATATAAACCGACTGATGAGGGAGATACAAGCGAGTATGGCCGCGACCTGAGATATGATGAAGACGATGATGATCTCTATGCAAGCTAGCATCGCGGATATACAGAACAGATTTCCAGGTCCTTCACGGAATCGATCGCATTCCTCGCATAGGTCGCATCACGACTCTCATCATCGACACACGCGACACTCAGATATTTCAGAGAGATCGGAAGAGTATAAGCTTCACAGAGGAACTGGAGAACGATCGAGAGAGACTAGGTCTCTTCCGCTACCTGACAAACAAGGTTCGTCGCCATCACTCACAAGTTCGCAAACTGAGCCGCGAAACAAATTCTCTTAGTTCGCAATCGCGAACTTCGTATCACCGTTCCCGAACCCCATTTTCCAGTTCGCAATCGCGAACTTCCTCTCATATTTCGCAATCGCGAACTGTTTCTAGCCATTCACAGAATTCCTCACTGGACCTCAGTTCGTGTCCAAGAAAGTCACCAGTCGATTTTCACTATTCCCCTTCCTCTTCTCAAGTTGTTTCTCTATGTTCGCCAGTTTTATCGCAAGATGGTTTTGTCCATGCGCAAGAAATTCTCCCGTCCATAAAGAAGACTGAGAGGGAGCCAACAGAATCTGGAATCAAGAAAACGAATAAGGAGGACGAAACCGAGGAGCAAACTACAGTTGTAGGTGTCTTAAAGTCGGAAACGGTTCTTCAGGTTAAACAATCGTCAGATTATGCTTCTCCTAATCTTGCAATTGATATGGATTTAATTCCTAGTCAAGTTTCTATTACTGACCTGCTTATCCACCCATGTTCCTTTGGAAGTAGAGTCTTAACTGCTTATGAAATTAGAGCACTTAAAATCAAGAACGTTTCAGATGATAAAGCTGTTCTGATCAAAAGTCAAGAACCTAGACAACCAAGGGAAATGTTTTCAGAATATTCAGGCATTGGTAAAAGGAAATCTGGTCCAGAGGCTCAGGAGGATCATGTGAATCTTTTTTCAGGAGAATTTGGTATTATGTTTGGAAACCGTAAACCGATTCATGAGGATGACAAGTCTAGCCAGTCCCAGCACTTTGGCAGAAGTTCTCTGCAACTCGCAACAGTAATTGCTAAAGACTTATCAGGAGTACAAGAAGCAGAATTGCAGCCCATTGTTGATAGCATGATAAGCTACCACAAGCTTGGCCTACATAATCCATTGAAAGCATTAGAAGGATATCTAAAATGGGGAGACATCACTGCAAAGACTGTTCTTAGCCTATCACTTCCTGATGTTTTTGACATCTTCACAAGGGTATTACAGAGGATGGTTCTTAAGAGTTATCAGCAAGCTCTAGGCGAAGTTGTGCACCAATTTTTTTTAGAAATACTCTATGGTAATCAGGTCCATTTTCTGGCAAGATCTTCTGAAGTGTCAGGAAGTTATCTGGGACAGAACAGCCCTGGTTTGTGGTGGACTTATGGTCCTTTGGAAATTGTTACTTCCTTTAAAATTGCATTGGGTATTCCTGCATTTCAGCTAATGGGTGCATGACTCAAGGAAAATCAGCATGTTCTTAAAGAAGACATCTGGCTATGGCCGCTATGCAGTGTAATGGAACAAATGTGTTAAGTGCGTGAGTTAGAGACCTCGTCCAAGGACGTGAACGGGATTGACCACCCGTAAAAGACGATGTTCCTGCAGCTATTTTAATTGATGAGGAATAGAGCAACTGAAATAGATGAACTGAAAATAGAGGCTTAATAGCTAATTATCTATCTCCGACCTAGTCAAGAGATCTCAAGATTTAATTAACCAAAAAGCTGTTTATTCAAGTAGCTGGGATCCCCTTAAATAGATAAAGGGTTTCCTAAAACAAATAGGAAACTAAGTTGGTAAAGGGTTTCCTAAAATAAACTAGGAAACTAAGTTGTTATTCTAATACAACTTAAATAAAGGAATACTAATTAAAGTAGGACTAATTAAATACTAATATTAATATGACTCTAACTGCCTTCTTATTTCTTTTCTCTTAGCTACGCTGGTCATTAATCTTTTCTGCCCCACACTGCTTTCTTCGTTCATATGTTCGGCCATAGAATTGGTCTGTAACAAAATGCTACTTCTATTTCATGATGGGGAAATACCATTGGAGATTGTTGAAATCATAAATCCAAAAAGAGGAACACAGTATGACGCAAGTTCTCATAAACTTTCTTTTGACATGTGTGTGGATGAAGTTCTGTACAAGCTATTCAGTGAGAAGTTTCACTCAAGAGATAGGATGGAGTCTGAGGGACATGCAATGCTGAGCATGGTCAAGAGTTTCTCATCTAGAGGACGAGAAGTCTGGGAACTTCTGATACCACCATCAGCGAGGTACTGGGAGAGGAGAGGCACCAGGAGGAAGCGGAATTCCTGACTTGGTTCCTATCTTCCCACCTTGAGGGCAAGGTGGATTCTCAAAGGGGGAGTATTGATAGGGACACATCTAAACGGAACAAAGAAGATAAATACGTTGTTAAAGTTTATTCCAGAAGAAGTAGTTAGACTAGTAGTGATTAGTTAAAATTCTGTAATAGCTATTAAATAAAGTCAGTTGAGCTGGACTACTATAAATAGAAGGTAGGCTGGGAGGGGAAGGCAGGCTGTTTAGACTTTTGTCTTGGACTGGGAAGTTAGAGACTAATCCTCTCTTTCTTTGGGGGCTTCGGCCATTGGGGGCTTCGGCCATTGTTCTTGTTACTGTACATCTTCAATCAAGATTTCAGTTGCTTTCTTGATATTGTTTTCTATAATCTTTCTGGATATCTTGATAGTTCTATCACTCACCTACGTCTTCATCCGTCCACTAAGATTGTCTCATACTAAATTTGGTAATGTTTGTGTGGTTTTCAAATGTTCTTACTTTATTCTCACTTTAATAATTCAATACCTACTACATAAACTCTTTTTTCTTGGTTACCGTACCACCTCCTCTTGTACCAATATTAGGGGGGTGGAGGTAGTACCACTGTTCTAAAAATTGGCCTAGTCAGACCGATTAACCGGCGCCTAGGTGCTAGGCGGCCCTAAAATTGGCCAACTCACCGCCTAGGCACTAGGCGCCCCTCAACCGCCTGACTAGCGCCTAGCGAGTTTTAGAACAATGGGTAGTACCAATCTATTAATTATCAAAAAAAAATCCAAATGTCTCCAACCAGAAATAGTAATGTTGAACAGTTAGGCTTTTTCAGTAGAATGCCAAGAGGGAATCTTATCCAGTAGGATCCCATTCTGAATTTATGTTGTTAGCATGCCATGAAATGAATCCAATGCTGCAGTACAAAAAGGGAAGTATTTTTTCTCTTTGTTTGGATTAATTTCTAGTTTTTATTGCTTAGTTAAAGGATCTATTCTTCTGTAATAGGATAATATGATCTATTGAAAAATCTTGTAATGGTGTTCCAGAGACAAGAAATGGAAGTTACTCTAATGGTGCTGATTTGAAAGTAGAGGATTGGGAGTCAATCTTATTCAAATTGAATGATTCAAGAAGATATCGAAGAGCAGTTGGATCTATTGCTGGCTCATGTATAATTGCTGCTACTCCATTAATTGCTTCAGATGATCAAGCAGCGTGTTTGATAGCCTTGGATGTAGTTGAGGTTCAATTTTATCCTTGCAAATTTCACTATCCTAATTTCTTTCCAAGAGAACCATCTAAAGTGCCTAATAAAATGTCAAATGTTCTCTTGCTGCAATCATATAAATATATTTCCCACTCCGAATTTCTCTGCTTCTAGTTAACGTTACTTGCCTAAAATAAAGTTCAAGTCACTGTTAGTTTGATAAAATGCATAGTATATTAGTTGATATAGAAACTTATATCTCTGTTCCTAGGGAATCGTGGGTCTTTCTGAAGCAATTTTTATAAGTTTGTTAGCAGAAGATGAAGGGGATAATTTAAGGTAGACTAGTAAAAAAAACTCCCTCCGCTGAGTCCGTTCCATAATAAAATTTCCACTTGCTTTAGAAAGTAAAATTGTGTGGTTATAATTTATTTAGACAAGGGAGAAACAATATAAACAAAAAATGAAAGTGAAGTTTTTGTGGGACGGGGTCACCGAGGGAGTATAATTTATTAATGCTATTTTAAGTATTTTTACTTTTTATATTTGTTCCAAGTTCAACATTCAATTTTCAACTAGATTTTTATTTAGATTAGAATATACAAAAAACAAGCCAATTTTGCAACATCAGAGTAGCTATTATAAATAGGCTGTTAGCTTTGGAAAATGAAGAGGAGGTTGATTGTGTTAGTAATCACTCATTTGGAAAATGAATATGGTTCTATAAAGACTGCTGTCTCAATTTTCTATCCCCCCAAAGAAATTACTCCTAAAATAAAATAATTATGATGCTCTTTGACTATGCTGTTGTAGGATGGAATTCTAGCACTAGCTAAAGTGGAAGAAGCCTACAAATTAGAGACTAAAACTAAAGAGGCAGTTGAAAACTTCATTCTCTCATGCTCGCCCCACGCTCTTGAGGAAACTGCCGAGGACGAAACAGGAGAAAACAGATTGCTCCCTGCCATGAATAAAATTTGGCCGTTCTTGGTTTCTTGTGTCCGAAATAAATATCCAGTGGTACGTTCTCTCCCCTGAAAATACAGTGATAAGTTTCTTTCAAGTGTTTGGCAGTGGTAGTAGTGTTTGACTCTCTTGTTTGAACATTTTACAGACCACACGAAGATGTTGTCGTGTGATTAGTACAGTGGTCCAAACATGTGGAGGAGATTTCTTTACCCGTCGTTTTCATACGGACGGGATTCATTTCTGGAACCTTCTAACCACGTCACCGTTTCGAAAGAAACCTCATTCGAAACAGGAAAGAGCCCCTCTACAACTACCTTACAGAAAAATCTCCACAACTTCTGAGGATTTATTTGGTGAGATTTCAAAACTTAAAGTCCAGGCAGAACTGCTCAACATGATTTCAGAATTAGCAAGAAACAAAAGAAGTTCTTCAGCATTGGAAGCTGTCCTTAAAAAGGTCAGTGGTTTGGTGGTAAGCATAGCATTCAGCGGCGTTAAAGGTCTTCTAGATGCTTCTGTTGAAGCTCTTGGCGGACTTGCATCAATAGACCCTGATCTGATATGGCTTCTCTTAGCTGATGTTTACTACTCACAGAGGAAATATTTTCTTTCGCCCCCAACTGCTCAATTTCCAGATATTGCGCAAATTTTGCCGCCACCTGCATCTTCTAAAGAGTATCTTTATGTGCTTTATGGAGGCCAGACTTATGGATTTGATATTGATTTCCCTGCTGTAGAAGCTGTATTCACAAAATTGCACGCCCAAGTGTTTACTAAGCAGATGCACACGTGAAATCTTTTCATGATGGACTGATTGTACATGCATTTTTTCTTGTTGATTTTGACATTTTCTGGAGCAAGCTATTTTCGATTTTAATTTGATGTCAAGCAAAGCTTTGTATTATAGTATGTTTGAGTGTTAGACACGATTAGATGAAAAGATATTTTATAAAGAAAAAGTGTATATGTGTTTGATAAAAATTGACTATTTGATTTATGAAAAAATGACTCATATATTACTATTGGTGTTCTCATTTCCAAAATATGACCATCTTTTTAATTGGACAAAAGTATGACTTATTACTAATAAATAGTACTCCGTATTTAATAACCCTTAATATATACTCGTATCTGAAAGGATCATTAAGGATTGCCAATAGTACGTCTCTTTATTCCAACTTCCAAGCGTGCAGCAGCACTCATGAACAACAAGATCTCAAACTCTACCTCTATCATCGAGGCTCACTTCTGCAACCACTATAGTTATCTTCAACAAACCATAGGGACAATTTGACAGTGACTAGAGATGGCGTCAACCTCTAGAGATGGCTATCATTGAATTGACACCGTGACGACCACCTCACACTCACAGTGCGACAAGCCGGCAATGACAAGAAACGCCTCCTCCTCTCATCTTCTTCTCCGTGTTTGTTGATGGTAGGCATGGACTGGGCCGGTTCGGCCTGACCCGGTACCTGGCCCATTGTTGTGCGGTACTGGCCCGGCCCGGCCGATCGGAGGGCCGAACCGGGGGTATTAGGGGCGGGCTACGGGATGCATATATGGTGGACCGGCCCGGCCAGTCCGGGCCTAAATTATTACTCCGTTTTTTCCCATTCATTGGATGCTCGGTGGGTGAGGCTAGGGGGTTCGGGGAGAGGGGGTAGGAATAAATTAGAAAAACAATTTTTTTTAAAAAAAAATAACTCAGACCTGACCTGCCCCAGTTTCAACCCGGGCCGCGGGGCCGGTACCGGGCCGCGGGGCCGGTACCCGGGCCTTCAGCCCAAACCCCCAATCTCGCCCCGACCCGGGGCCGGTCCATCCCTAGTTTATGGTGAGAAGTGGGGGCTAGATTAGTAACATCGTGGGCGACGTTATGGGCGGTTTGGATTATGGTGATGTCGTGGGCGGTAGCAACATCGTGGTTTAGTGACTTTGTTGGCGATGATTAGAGTTTCAGTGACTGCGACGTCTAGGGCTTCAATGACTTCGATGATGGCAGCTAGGGCTTCAGTGACTTCTGGATATTAATGACTTTAATTTACTTTTACATTTAAATTTAAGTTTGCAAAAAAATTAATGAGTGAACTACCTTTGGTGGACTTAATTAATTTGAACGTAATTAAGTCTACTAATATTTACGGTTATCAAGCCTCCATCAACAGGCACGTCCATCAAGGTTATGACATTCTCTTCCAAATGTAGGGGATCGGTTTCTTCCCCTTCTCATTTTATTCTGCGACAGTTTCTTAGAGCAACTCCAACAAGCACCAAATCCTACACCAAAATGGTGGATTTGGCAAAAAAAAAATGCTCCAATAGTCACACCATCCCCTACACCATTACACCATTTTGGAGGAAAAGCTTTTGCTTTACACCAAATATGGCGTACACCATATCTCACACCATCCTTTTTTTTAATTTTTTTAATTTCAAATGTTATAGTTTTGACCCATTTTTAAAACAACAAATTAGTATGTTTTTACTTGAACTGAAATTTGTTGGTTTGCTCTGGTTTGGTCTGATTTGGTCTGAACTGATGTGGCTTGGTCTGATTTCTTTGTATTTTTATAACTACCCAAGTTTAGTCTAATTCGGTCTGATCTGATCTGAGACAAATTACAGTCCAAGTAAAAACATCCTTATAGAACAACAAATTTAAATTATTAATTTGATGGAAAAAAATATAATAAAATTTAAATCACACAATATTATAAATAAAGTTTCAAATCCAAACAACATAATAACAGAATATTAGTTTGTATTTTACTCCATCCGTCCCGCTAAGATTGTCTCATTTTTACCTTTTCGGGACATCCCACTAAGATTGTCCCATACCAAATTTGGTAAAGTTTGTGTGGCTCTAAATCATTCTTACTTTATTCTTACTTTATCAATTTAATACCAAGTACCAACCACACAAACCCACTTTTCTTAATAACTGTGTCACTTTCTCTTGTCCCAATCTTAGTGGGACGGAGGTAGTAGTTTGTATGTGTGAAATAATGTGTGAAATGTCAAAATATTAAATGAGGGGCTAATGTATAAATATATGATAATTAGATACTTAAATACTCCCTCCGTCCCAGAATTAACTTCGGTTTTGACTGGGCACGGAGATTAAGAAAGTAGGAAATGTGTGGTGGAGAGTTGTGCAGAGGAGAGAGAAATGTGTAAGAATGGTTGTGAACCACAAATCCTTTGCTAAAAGGGGAAAGAGGAGATAAATTTGGGACGGAACAAAAAGGAAAGAATGAAGATAATTATGGGACGGAGGGAGTAGAAGAATGGTAAAAAGTTAGTAAAAAGAATAAAAAGAGAATATTCCTTTTTGGTGATGAAAATGGAGTAAACTGTTGGAAATAAAATACTGTTTGATGTGATGTTTACACCATTTTAGTGTAAAAAATGGTGTAACTGTTGGAGATGGCCTTACCCTATCTGCTACAACGAAGAGGTATTCTTCCTTCTTACACTTAGGTGCTGTTCTGTTCGTCTTATTCTTATTACTTATTACTTATTCTTATTTTATTCAGATCAGATCAGATCAGATCAGAAAAAATCAGATCAGATCAGATCATATCAGAAAAATTCAGATCAGATCAGATCAGAAAGATTCAGATCAGATCAGATCAGATCAGAAAGATTCAGATCAGATCAGATCAGATCAGAAACATTCAGATCAGATCAGAAAAGTTCAAACATGATTTATCACTTTTATTATTATATTAATTATTATTATTAATATTGTTATTACTATTATTATTATTATTATTATATAATTATTATTAATAATATTAATAATAATAATATGATAAAAAAAATAAGATATTAATAATAGTTATAATATTTTAATATAATAATAGTAATATAAATGCAATTATTAAGAAGACTATTATTATTATTATTACAATATAATAATAATAATATGATTAATATTATTATAATATTATATTATAATTATATGTAATTATAATTATAATTACAATTAAAACTCTTATAATTATAAGTATAATCAATTATAATTATTATAATTATATCTATAATTAATTATAATTATAATTATAATTAGTTATAATTATAATAATAATTATAATTAAAATCATAATCATAATTATAATTATAATTATAATTATAATATAATATTATAATAATATAATACTAATTATAATAATAATCATATTATTATTATATTATTGTAATAATAATATTAATATAATAATATCTTTATAATAATATTAATTGCATTTATATTACTATTATTATATTATAATATTATAATTAATTTTAATATAATTATATTTATTATTAATTATAATTATAATAATTATAATTATACTTATAATATATTATAATTATAATTTATGATTATAATTATTATTTTTATTATAATTATTAATATTATTATTATTATTATTATTATTATTATTATTATTATTATTATTATTATTATTATTATTATTATTACTATTGTAATTATTTTACGGAGTAATTATAATAATATTGATAACTATAGTTACAATTATAGAGATAAATATTGTAATTATAATTACAATTATAATTATATAAGTAATTATAATTAAAAATATAATTACAATTATAATTATATCTATATTTATAATTAGTGTAATAGGTATAAATTTTTTCATTTTAAATTTAATTTTAATTATTATTATTATTATAGTTACGATTATGATTATAATTTTATTTAAATTATATTTGTAATTGCAATTATAATAATTATAATTATAATTATAATCATAGACATATTCAAATCAGATCAGATCAGAAGGATTCAGATCAGATCAGAAACATTCAGATTAGACCAGATCAGAAACATTCAGATCAGATCAGAAAGATTCAGATCAGATCAGATCAGAAAGATTCAGATCAGATCAGATCAGATCAGAAAAATTCAGATCATATCAGATCAGAACTTAAAAAATTCAGATCAGAACAGCTTCTTACATTACAATGTAGAGGTTCACAACTCCTTCAATCTGTACTAATCGCATATTATCTACTTTCATTACCTTAAATTTCATCGAAAACTTTAACACCTACACAAAGAAACCTGCGTATGCTTTACTTTACCGGTAAAAGAGCAAATTGATCTAAGTTAGCAGCAACTTTCAAACATATTATTCTATCAAAAAATTATACAGCCAGGCACTAAAGGGTTGACTTTCTTGAGGTTCATTTCTGTTGATGTTCACTGAATATAGCTAATTTTAAACGCATTCAGTATTCACCAAAATTGGGTTTCATGTTATCCACGAAAAAACTCTTACTTCGTTGCCTACAAAGTGTTTGGTAAAAAACCTCAAATGAATTTCACGTGTTTAATGCATCAAACCCCCCGTGATTTGGAAATTCGGCGCATGAGCCCCTGTGATTTAAAAAATGCGTTAAACTCCCTTGTGTTTTAATTAATCATGCACAGAACCCCCTTTATGAATAAATTTAACGATTTGAAAATCACTTTTCCTAATATTTTGATTAAATATACAAATAAATATGTCAAAATATCTGAATCATACAAAAATGTTAATCATTTTTCTTTTGTTTGACAATTGAATTTGTTCACATAAGGGATTTGGCGCATGATTAATTAAAACACAGGGGGGTTTGACGCATTTTTTAAATCACGGAGGGCTAATGCGCCGAATTTCCAAATCACATGGGGGTTTGGTGCATTAAACCCGAATTTCATAGCACTTATTGTGAGTGTCTTAGCAATAACTATTATTATATACTACGTATCTCATCCTTCATTAGCAAACCACCTTTCATCAGATGTAGGTTACAAACTTCATCTTCACTAGCCGATAAACCCGCGCGTTGCACGGGAAATCTAGGAACCCTTGGTGATCCATGTTTACGGTTTATCAAATTTATCAATCTTTTTAGTTTTTTCTCATATTTCGTATATTTTTTCTGAGACACAGGGATTATAAGTTTTTGAGATAACAAAAATAACGAATGTTAGCAAAGTTTCATGAGAAAGAGTAAGTGTAAGTTTTATGATTTTTAATTTATGAATGTGACTTTTCTAATTTGTAGTTACTAACTGTCACTGAGAAGTTGTTGTGTTCGTCATATTTTATGAGAAAAATAATCAAAATACCTAAACTCTGAAAGAGTGCGAGATAAACACTCCAAACTTTCATATGTAATTTAAATACCCCAAACTTTATGTAAAAGTTATTTTAGCAATATGGTCCTATATTATTCCTTTCAAAAATGTTATTTATGATGTCAATTGCATAATTTAAACTTACAAAATAAAAATGCTGCAATTGTTGACTCTATTGGGGGCATTATTATTTATTTTGCAATGGAAGTTTAGAATGTTAATTGTAAATATAGGACTCTTTACATATTGGCTCGGGTATTTAAATTATATATGCAAGTCTGGGGTGCTTAATTCACACCCTTCAAAGTTTGAGGTATTTTAATTACTTTACCTTATTCTTATTGCTTATTGTTTATTCTTATTTTATTCAGACCAGATCAAATAAAGGACAATTCAAGTCAGATCAAATCGGAAAAATTAAGATCAGATGAGAAAGATTTAGATGTATAGTTATAGTTATAACTATAATTATAGTTATAAATTTATAGCTATAACTTTAATCATAACCATAATCACAATAATAGTGATGATAATAACAAAAATAACCACATCAATAATAAACATTTAATTACATTAGCAATATTTAGATCTGATTGAGATTGATTCAGATCAAATAAAAAAAATTCAAATCAAATTAGAAAGATTCAAATAATGTGCAACTCGTTGAACGTTAGTGTGCAATTGCTATTTTATGACTATATAATATGCAACATTTTGAACCTCAATATGCAATGCAAAAAACGTCAAGGTGCATCATACAAACATTTGCACAATAAACACAGTTTCTACTTGATCTTTCCCCACGTATATCATCTTATACCATTACCTTAACCGTTAAGCCATTATTCACGGCTTTATCCAGTACATTTCTATTATGCATGTTTTCGAACTGAAGGTGCATTGATGAAGTATTAAGATATATGCTTAATTAATTGAGACAACAATTTTTCACATGTTTTGGCTCCAAATAGATCCACCTGAAATCCCACCATAGGATCTTTATATATAGGGAAAGTTCCCGAAATAGGACTAAAAAAGTTTGAAAATTCTAAAATAGGACTGTCATGTTTTTATTCCCAAAATAGGAATAATTACTGCCAAGTTTGGAAAATACTGTCATGTTTGAAGTCTGATACTGCCAAAACATGGTAGTAATTAGTCCTATTTTGGGAATAAAAACATGGCAGTCCTATTTTGGAATTTTCAAACTCTTTTAGTCCTATTTCGGGTAATATCTCTTATATATATAAAGATTCTCATCTTTGAGTTCAGCCTTTAGTAGCGGCATTATGTATGTGACGAGTAAAATCTTTAACATACTTCGTACTTGATAACCACTGTTACTAAGCTATCTAGGATTACAAAAAACCTTTAGAAAAAGGCTAAATGAACATCACTTCCATTAATTTTGTTCTCTTCAACTAACAAATGCTATATTCCACACAAGTTAAACTTTTAGTTTATAAATCATTCCTGCCTCAATATATTTGGTCTTTTCAAAGAAATATTCCTGTTACATGAACTTTACAAATCAAAATATTCACTTCTACCATAAGTCCATAACGATAACAACACTGTGTTTAACTATATTTGTAAACCTCCTTTATTTCATTGCATATTTTAACAGGTTTTACAAGCTTCTCTATAAGGCCACATCATATAACAGCGTTTAAAACGAATATTTAAAATGCGAGTAACATTTTTAGGATCACTTATTCTTATCTCCTCTTATTGTATTCATTCATTACAAGATATAGAAGAATTTGAAGTACCATCGACGTAAATCACGTAATTAAAATTTAAAGCATGTGTACATAAATCTATTTGAAAGTACTTTGACAGTTTATATTTTTTTCTAAATCAGTAACCGATGGCATGAGTGATCTATATTGGTATGGTGGGTCTAGATTAATTATTTGATACAACAGTTTCACTTTTTAAACTCATTTAGTTTAAGTGTGTTTATTCTGGAAGACACATGCTGATAATGGTTCTTAAACTAAGATATTAATTTCACGCTGCAAATGCAGGCTAATTTTTAACACACGCATGCGCACACACATGACACATCTATTTATAATTGGATTTCAAATTTGAACTTCGAAGTGATGACAATGGCAATGTTTCACTCCTCTCTTTTTGAAAATGTCAATAATGCTTAGTTTTCTCTTGTCGTTCTTTTGAGAAAGGTAGTGGAATTAGAAATTGGTTTGTTAAGCATTCATATTCACACAATAACGATATTGATAGGGATTGATCGAATTAGAAGTGGTATGTCACCGTGCCAAATAGCCGTTACAAAACGGATTTGGCAGAGTATTTGAGTGTGACTGTACATTATATTGATGCTAATTGGGATATGCATAAAACTTTTATCGCTTTTCGAAAATTTAATATCCGACACACATGTGATAATATTTATATTCTCATTGAGCGTATTTGAACTGATTGATTGATAACACTGCTCCTATATCTAGATTGTGTGAATTGTGTGATTCTTCTACTTTGATGAGACGCACGCGCACGACGCATGCCCACACCCACAGATATGTACTAAGAACATTTGAAAAAAACTTAATTAATAACATGACAAAGAATAAGGGAAAACTTAATAAGTGTGGTTATGTTTAGGTCAAACGAAAGTTGTTATCGGTGATGACCTAAAAAGAATACCTACATAAATTTCAGAACATATTTCAAGAATTGATAATAAATAGTAACCCAATAATCATCTTTATTGTATGTGTCAGTAATGTATAATTGGAGGTGTATATATTATTGGGAAAACTGTCAAATAAGTCCATGCACTAGTACGAAAAAGTATTTTAAGTACATGTACTTTTAAATGAATCAATCAAGTCCACAAACTGTAAAAAACAACCAAATTGGCTATTTCATAGGTAATCAACCGGTTCCCAGTTCAAATGCTTACGTGGATCTGTCCAACTGGCTTTTTTTATCGTTTACAATTTTTTATATTTTTTCATTTCATTTTGTTTTTCTTTTTCTCTCTCTTTCCTTCTTCTTTCTCCGTGCTTCTTTCCCGTTCGAGGTCTCCATCGCCATTGTCCAACCTGCATCACCTTCCCCTTCTACCCTCGATTCATTTTTCTCTTTCCTTCTTTCTTCTTTTTCTTGAAATCCATAACATAATTTTGTACCCCGTAAACTTTATTTTTCTTTGACTCTTTCTGCAGGCTCTCTTGTCTATCGGTCCAATACTATAGCTATATATGCTACGGAGTATAATATACTTAGTATATATATATATACACACACATATAGTTAGTCAATACACCATTCTTGTGACCGTAAAAGGTTTTTTTATCGAAGGTGGCTTAATTCATATAAATGAAAATAGCATTCAGTAAGGGGACAAGATAATAAAAGAACCACAAGTAATCATCCGCCCGTGGCCGAGACTGAGAGTTAACCACATGTAGAAAAGCAGTATAACTCGCTAGACCAAGATTTGGCAACTTAAAGCCAATGACGATTACCGTAGAGCTTTCAAAACCCAAACCTAATGCAAGAGTCTTACAACATAAAATAAAATAACAACAAAACACAAACATCTTAACTTGGAAATTAATATGGATAAAAGATAAGTAAGCAAACTCCAAAATGCATCGATTAACCCTTGGCGGTGGTTCTGGGGGAGGTCGGACCCTCACAGCGATTGTTGTTGCACCAAAGCAGTTTTCTTCCAACTCGGCCGCCTCTACTTCATCATTGTTGTTGCACCAAAAGCGATTTCCCCGGGCGCCAAACAGATGCCATCAGATCTTGGAACCCCGGAAGGTTGATCTTCCAGTCCGTAATCACGGCGTCGACTTCTCCTGACATGGAGATCCCCTCCCTTCGTTCGTCCCCTGCGTCTTCCTGTTTGGCCAAACCCAAGCCGCGACCAAGCCCTTCCAACGACGCCCAGACCACTGCCGTCATTCGCCTTCACCACAACCTAAGCACCGTTCTTCGTTAATAAACGAAAACGGGAAACGAACCCCAGCGGCGAAAAGCCCAAGGGAAGAAACGAGACCCCAGCGGCGGAAAGCCCTAGGGAAGAAAAATCAAAGTGGAGCTTTAGGCAGATTCGTAAAAGGTTCTACTAGAAAAATATACCGGGCCCTATGTTATTATTTAATAAATATATAAATGCAGGGCTTTACCGAAGAGATTAAATTGGAGAAAGATCGTTGGGAAGGGTATGATAGTTCGATCTATAGCAATTAAATTCCTTCGTTAATTCTTTCTATGAGTAGAATCACTATTATTATTTCTTTCTATCAAGTTAAATGAATAAATGTTTGTTGTTGTAGGATGATCACAAAATACAACTCAACATCTCTAATGCAATTTAATTGCTCATCTTTCGGACAGGTAAACTTGACCATAATTCCAATTATTACGATTAATTTGTCCCCTAAAACGTAAACTAACAATTGCTATGTATATTCGATCAGAAAGAAGATCAGGCAGCGGATGAGAACACCACAACAGCTGGTATGAGTACGGAGTAATTTTTTTTGTTTGTGATATTCTTAATAATTATGTACTCCGTACAATTGAATGCATAGTATTCGTACTTTGATCTATCATGACTTGTTTATTATGGATTTATGGGTTATATATATATATTTGAAGCTGTAAACCAGATGGAATATATGTAGGGGCAAGTCTTGACACGGAATATAAAGCATTGCATACTTGGATTGATAGGGCAACCAATCAAAAAAATGTTACAGATTTCCTACGCTCACTCCTAAAGGCTAGTTGAAAACTTCTCTATCATTTTTTAAATTACTTTACCATCAATTTGTTCAGTTACTTCTCCATCAATACATGCTTTCAATTATATCATATTCTCATGTTTTCTCATGTGGTTGTTGAAGCTGAGCAGTCGATGTATGCTCATGTTGATGCTGGAGCGTTCAAAGAAGTTGCAGTGGGCAATGACCCCATTGGTACGTACCTACTCAGTTTATACACGGAGTATTATGCTATGCCTATCTATGCATTCAAAAGGAAGGAGGATTTCAAAAATTTACTAAGTATGAATGTGCACGTCTTATATATATCATGCAACACTCCGATAATCAAGTTTCACAACGTACACACAAGTTTGAGAGTTGATATATTTAATTTCCTATAGAAAAGAAATTCAAAAAAAAATCAGATTTTGAATTTTTTAAACGAGATGAATTCAACAATGTTAGTTAACTAAGTATTTATTGATTGGTGTTGCATGCAGACTTGAAGATCATATCAGAGAGAGTTGAGTCCGGACAATACTATGAAATAGTGGAAGTGTTTGCCTGTGATGTGAGGAGGATGTTGGCAAACATTCGCACATTATATGCTCCTGGATCCATGCACTCTATTTGTGCAAGTAGGTTTGAAAAGTATTTCACGATGAAACTGAACTGTGAGTACATTCTGTGGACGACTCCTTAAACACTGCATGCAAGTGACTTGGAATTGCTGCCCTGGCATGGCCTGTCCGCAGGACCGCCCTGGCATGGCCTGTCCGCAGGACCGACTTTAGGAGGGAGGCATCTAGGCATATGCCTAGGGCACCATGTTGTGTTCTTGTGGGCACCATTTTTTTAAAACAAAACTATTGTTATCATATACTCGTAATTAATAATTTATATATACGTAGTAGTATTTGGTTATACTAAAGAAAGAGAAAAAAGCACGGAGTACGTGGTAACACTTTTACCTTGGTGACTGTTGGTGTAATGTCACTCTATCAATTATTTGTACTCTGAGATTTTGAGACCGTTTTGTAACACTATTTTTTGGCTTATCAGACTTATTAGCCAACTTTTTCACTAAACACGTAACTTTTGTTTTCTTGCGCTGAATTGTGTAATAAGAAGAAAACGTAAGGTTGGAGTTACTTTTCTGGCTGTATTGGCTTAAGTTAACTGTAGATGACTATTTTAGCTATTTATATATATAATTTTTTCTTTATTTTATTAATGAAATATATTATAAAAAATAATTTTTTCTCAAATCTGCCAATGCAGCCACTTCAGTCGGACTTCATAAATTTCAACAGAATCAACCAAACCAGCCGATTTCAGTGCTACCAAATGGGCTCTTCTTAAATTATCAAACGTCTACACTATTTCAAAACTACCGTACACAGGAGCACAAAGAAAAACGAGAAGTCGAGAAGGTCAATGAAGAGAATAGTGGTCCTATAAATTCAATCTATTTTTTCTACACATCAATTTTAGTAATAATTATGTATTACTATAGTATATTGAAAATAATTTAATATTCAATACTAATACTACAACAACAACATCCAAGTTTTAATTCCAAAAGATATTGGGTTTGGCTAACATGAATCGTTAGATGATATCACAATCAAAAGGAAAAGAAAGAAAATAAAGATAAAAAAGACAAGCTATTATAAAAAGGATAATATAAAAAGAGATGCCTAATAATGATAAAATAAAATGAATAAAAATAATGTTTATATATATAAGGATAAAAGAATAAAAAAACAAGAAGAAAAAAAGATGAGGGGAAATAATAATATGAGATCACTCTACACGAATACTCGCCCTCCACTTTGCTTTCTCCAAAACCATACCCTCATCCAACCCAAGAAGAAACATATCACTCCGGACTCCCCTAACTCATGTCTGTTTGAGTCTTCCTCTCTCTCTCTTCCCTGCCTCTTCTCCACACATCTTAACACGTTGACAGGTGCATCACTCGGTCTTCTACGCACATGACCAAATCACCGTAGGTGCAACTCCCGCATCTTGTCTTCAATATGTGCTACTTCCACCCTTTGTTTGATTGTCTCATTTCTCACGTGGTCCTTCCTGGTATGCTCACACATCCAACGCATCATGCGCATCTCTGCCACACTCTTCTTTTGAATGTTACATTGTTTCACCGCCCAACTCTCTACGCCATAAAGCAATGCAGACATAATTGTTGTCCTATAAAATTTACCCTTCAGTCTAGTTGGCATACCTCTATCACATAGAAATTCTGGCGTAGTCTTCCACTTCATCCGCCCTGTTCTGATTCTATGTGATACATCTCCAACTAACTCACCGTCCTTCTGAATTATGGAGCCCCCAGTAATGGAACATATCACTGACCGTTATCTCCTTACCATCTAGAGTAATTCCACTATTACCACTGCTTCTACCTCCACCAATCTTGCACTACATGTACTCTGTCTTGCTCCGACTAAGTCTGAAACCCTTGTTCTCCAATGTTTGTCTCCATACTTCCAACTTTGCTTTAAGACTTGACTGCGTCTCATCAATCAATACAATATCGTCGGCAAATATCATGCACTACGGTATTTCGTCTTGAATTGACTTCGTAAGTTCATCCATGACTATGACAAATAAGAAAGGGCTCAGAGCCGATGTTCAATCTTGATTTAAAATAGCAATACTTACAGGGATGGATTTAGGGGGGGGGGGGGGGCGACCGCCCCCCTTGGACTTTCAAAATTTTCTACCATATATGTAATATTTTCATAAAACTTTCATAATTTAATTAGATTCGCCCCCCTTATCTTTTAATTTTCAAAATTAATATATAGTGTTACATAATGTAATACTTAATTGAAGATTTAAAAGAAGGAACATCTAAAATAATTACATAACTTAAACAAATAAACAATAGAATAACTCGTTGTTTAAGATTTAGGATACTTATTATATAATAATTCCTAGTTTTGTAGTGTTTAATTATCTTTATTAGATAACAAGTACTTGATTTTGTAAAATATATATCAAACAATATTAAATATCAGACACACTAATTACACAATTTTTAGATCACGTGAAATGAATCCAAAATATAAATGTTTATTGACATTAAATTACATAATTCATTTACTTCTTGCTTTCTAAAAATAATTTATTGCACAGATAATAAACTTTAAATTATTATAGCATTAATACAAATATTAAAATATAATATGCACCATATATGTGTGTGTGTATGTGGTGCATATTATTCTAAAAATAATAATATCATACATACTACTATTGTAATATTAAGAAAACTTCTCATGATTCATGACTCACGAACACCCTCCTTGGTGGCCGGACAAAAATTACAATTCAATAATAACCGATTCATGAGGTTAAACAATGTAGAATTTATTAAAAATGTATTGGTTGATATCTTTGTCATCGTCTAATTTAAACTTAGAATGTACTACTTAATAGATTTAAATGTCGTTGGGGATGTGTATGTATTAATGTCATTTTTTGAATAAAATTAGCCGCATAGCCCTACAGCAGCAGAAAAAATTCGCCCCACTACACTAGGGAAAAAATTTCGCCCCACTACACTAACGAAATTTTTTTCACCCCTACACTACCGAAAAATTTCGCCCCCCTTAAATAGAAATCCTGGATCCGTCCCTGAATACTTATCTGCTCATGAGCAGAACACAGATCATTTAATCTCCCATCATAGCTCACCATTTATATGATTATACATTTTATACCTAAATGTTTAAAGTATGCATTAAGAAAATTTTTCTGCTTCAACAAAATCTAGTGATAGTAGAAAAGTAAAATTTAGAACCATCTTAGCTGCTACACTCCCAAGTTTTAAACAATTAGCCAAACAAAGTTATATCGTATGCATAAGAATGCAAGAGCAGCAAATATTTCCTAAGATATCATTATGATGTTTCATAAGATTCTGGTGGAAGACTAACAATAATCACCCGCTTTTATCCGTTGTTGGAACTCATACGGCTTTTATCGCCTTATTTTCCATTGTTGTAAAAAGATCAAGTAAAGAGTAGATATATGAAAAGGAACTCCAATAATGAATTTGGCCAGTATTCATATTGGAAATTAGAGAAGAGTAAATCTGCATACAATTCTATCAAATAGCTCTGTGTTGGTTGTGATTATAGTAAATCTCTGAGAATTGTATGCAGATTTACGTAGAATTGGAAGGATGTAAATTTATACTCCCTCCGTCCCAAAATTAACTTCTCACTTTTCTTTTCGGGCAGTCCCGAAATTAACTTCACATTTCAAAACTTTCCTTATTTGTCAAATAATCTACATGAAAAAAGTGTCAAACAGTGCCAAAAAGTGTCCAAACAGTGTCAATCAGTGTTTAAACAGTGCAAAACAGTACACTCCACAGTAAAGTCAAATTTATTTTCTTAATCTGTGTGAAGTCAAACTGAGAAGTTCACTATGGGACGGAGGGAGTAGTCAGTTGCTTCACTACGTACTTCTTCGGTTTGTAATTGCTTCACAATCTGACCCCAAGTGACTCTCTATCTGTGAAATTTTGATTATACTATTATAGTCCAATTTACGTCTTGCTTTATACCCATTTGTTGTTGGGGGGACCTAAGGGAAGCAATGCCCGAAGCCAAATCGGGGAAGTCCCGTGCGAAGCCAAGAAGTGCAGAAGCCACCCAACCTACATTTTTTCAAAGTTTGTTCGAGTTCATGCTCTCAGGTAAAAATGGCAAGTTGCCTTTGTCGTTCTCGCGTTTTTCCTTTCCCAGGTGCCGCCGTTTTCCGCCGCTTCTGTTTTACTTCTACAAACTCCGACCACCTCAACGACTACGACTTTGCCTCCGACACCGCCACACTCAAACCTACTCTTCCCCAAATCGAACCCTCTAACGACGCCGATAGGATCGCTCAGATTCTTCTCCAACACCACAATCCCTTTCACCCAACGGAATCATCGCTTCAGCTCACCGGCATTTCCCTCTCCCCATTCCTCCTCCACCAGACGCTCCTCCGCCTCAAACACTCTTCCAAAGTTGCCCTCGCTTTTTTCAACTTCTCCCTGTCCTGCCCCGGCTCCCCACTCGATGCCACCGCCTTCAACCTCCTCATCGACATCCTCTCCAAAGTCCGGCAATTCGACGCCGCCTGGAAGCTCATAGTCCAGATGGACCAGCAGAAGATCTCCCCCAATTTCACGACTTTCTACGTCCTAATCCGGAGGCTCATATCTGCTGGGCTGACACGACAAGCCGTTCGCGCCTTCAGCGAAATGTTTGTCTTCATCGATGAACACGGGGAGGAAGACGTCTGGAATTTGTACTTTTGCTATCTCCTCGACACCCTCTGTAAGTACGGGTACGTGAGAGTGGCTACTGAGGTGTTCAACAAAGAGAAATGGAGGGTGGAGGTGAACTGCAAGATCTATACAATCCTGATTTACGGCTGGTGCAAGCTGAAGAAGATTGAGATGGCGAAGAAGTTTTTCGAGGAGATGATCGCTAAATCTATCCACCCAAACGTGGTGACTTATAACGTGTTGCTGAATGGGATTTGCAGGAGAGCCAGTTTGCATCCGGACGGCAGGTTTGAGAGGGTGATAGTGGAGGCAGAGAAGGTGTTTGGTGAAATGCGCGAGAGAGGAGTTGAGCCTGACGTAACAAGTTACTCGATTTTACTCCATGTATATAGCAGGGCACATAAACCTGAGCTCTCTCTAGAGAAGCTGATGGAAATGAAGGAGAAGGGTATATGTCCAAATATAGCATCATACACATCAGTCATCAAGTGTCTATGCTCATGTGGGCGGATTAAGGATGCAGAAAAGTTGCTTGATGAAATGGTGAGTGGCGGGGTGACTCCCATAGCAGCCACTCTCAATTGTTTCTTCAAGGAATATAGGGGCAGAAAAGACATTGATGGTGCATTGGGTTTGTATGGTAAAATGAAGGATGGATCCTTGTGCGCACCAAGTGAGGCCACATTTAATATACTGTTAGGAATGTTTGTGAACTTGGGGAGATTAGGGCTTGCCAGGGAGATTTGGGATGATATGAAGAACAGCAGTATAGGTCCGGATTTGGATTCTTACACCTTGATGATCCATGGACTGTGCAAGAAAAAGAGATGGAGAGATGCTTGTGAGCTGTTTATGGAAATGATAGAGAAAGGGTTTCTTCCCCAAAAGGTTACATTTGAGATGTTATATTCAGGGTTGATACAGTCTGATATGTTGAGAACTTGGAGGAGGCTAAAGAAAAGGCTCGATGAGGAATCAATAACTTTTAGCACAGAGTTTGAAGGGTATCTTTTAAAGCCTTACAGGAGGTAACCACAATCGGATGCCTGTGGAAGTTGCTTGAGAAGGGTATCATTTTTTACATTTTCTTTCACTAAAAGCAGCAAGTTTTTGCTCACTTAAATGCCTCAGAAAAAACTACCAGTCCCACCTTTCCGCGAATTTGCCAATCCTGAGCTTTAAAATTGACAATTTGACTCGATTTGGCATTATTGGATTTTTGGTCAAATTTCGCCATGTTGGTAGAAGATGCGGGCTTAGTACCTCCCAGTCTCCTCAGCATCCACTTCCCATGTGACTAAAATTGCACCCAACGTTTCTGGCATGTATACATGTGCGATGTACGAACTCAGAGGCAGCCCATGATAAATGGAAGCCGTTTATTGTATTTTTGTAGGAGATTCCTATAATAAGTTATGGCCTTATGGGCCATAATTAATTTGGTTTCTGAATTTATTATTTGTTCCAAAAAATGTTCCTATCTTTATGGGTACAAATGGCTGTATAGCCTAAAAGTAGGCTACAGTAAATAAATAACTCATATTCCGTATTATTTTTAATAAAATGTATGGCATTTTAGAGATTAATATATAAAATGTGATCATTAAAAAAATGTGATCATTAAAAAAATGTGATGAAGGCAAATACAACTATACAAGATCAAATAAAATACGGAGTAGTAAAATATGCATTGAGGTAGCATTAAGAGCTTGTTTGGTAGAATGTAAAATAAAAGTGGAGGGACTTAAAAAGTTTGCACCGTTTGCTTTAATTATTTAATGTAAATTGTAAGACACTTTTTAAAAACATTTCACACTGTACCATGTAAAGTATTTTAGGGACGATGGTAAAATACTTCGCATGCTTTTTATAAAGCACTACAATGACTTTGCGTGCGAATAAAAATAAATTACATATCTAGCCAAATAATGTAATTTATGTTACATGCAAAGTAATTACGTCCCTAAATTTTGCATGTAGTCATTTCTCATGCAAAGATTTAACGCGTAAACTATCGAACGAACCCTAAATTTAACGGATGTCGGTATTATTATTATTTAATATACACAGTTAATAAGTTTATATAAACACTAAAATAAATATGTATTTATATTTTTTATTTAAGCCACTAGCCACCATTGAAGGATTTAACATAAACCTCTAAAATAAGGATCTTTGAGATTATCAAAAAGTATGCAATTGAATTGGTAGCATGCAATTCAAACGATGACATAATTGGTAGTCTAGTAGGATCAAATTGAGTTTTTGGTGTTTATCGAGTCTTAACATGTCTTTGTAGAATTAGATGACATAATTCCACAAAAACCATTAACTCATTAAGTGGTTTTAACTTAGACAAGTTTAATAAAATCTTAAGATTCACAATCCTATTCACAATACTTTTAGGCTATACAGCCAATTGGTCATCAATTCAATTAAAACTTACAATTTTGACAACCTTTTTGAAATACATCACGCTACATAATTGAACTCCATAAAAACAATGTAAGAAGTACAGGAACACTATAGGATAGGAGCACTCCATAAGAAAAATAAACCACTCTTTTCCGGGTAGCTAAAAACCAACCTCTTGAACTAGATACATTACACATTTACACCAATCACATATAGTCTTCACTGTATCATAGCCACAGGGCATTGGTTTATCATGCTCATTGAAACAAGCTTTACACTTTACAGAATCTGGGTTCGAAAAAAAAAAGTAGAGAAGTGTCCATAAAAAAGAGGACTCCAAATGAGATTTAGCCAGGAGGAGGTCATTAGCTTGCTTACCTCTCATCCAAGACCAAACGGCTGACATGGCAACCAAAATGGAGAAAACCAAATTCGTGTGCATCATCTACAAAGAATGTTTTATGTTTAATAAGAATGTCTAATCGAAGCTTGAGGAACGGCTCCATCTTCCCTGCAAATAATCATCCACAGATATCGAGTTGCTACTGATTGAAAGGGAGTCATCCTCAGTATCTAACAACGCAAGATTGATAAAAGATTGGATTCTTGCTGTTGCAGGTTGCTCATCGCCAACTTCATCCACTTCATTTGCACTGTTCAAGAGCTGCCTTGCCCATTGAATTGCTTCATGCTCACCTTGGAGAAGTTTTACAACCTGTTGTATAATTGTATATTTGTATATTTGAATTAAAGGACAGCCTTACTGCTTATACTACTAGTGGTGGGCACAATTGGTTAACCAACCTTTCGTTAATCAATGTTCTGGCTAGAAGGTTTTCAATATAATTGACCATATTACTTTGGTTAAGCAGTTCTCGTTTAACCGCAAATTTAGTATGGCTAAATGGCTAACCAAATATCTAATAAAAGTTGTTAAATAGCTTCATTTTGTTTATAGAACTAATTATGCAAACAACTTGACATTTTAATTTTTAAATACTGTATATTATTTCATTACAAATTTTATGGTGAACTGAAGGGAATTCTGAAAAGTGAAAACCATAACCGTACTGTTAATAACTGTGATACATAAAATTTTAAGGTGTGTACTGTTAATAAGAGAAGTCACTAATTCCTTGTTTTGGTCAGGTTTTCTGGTTTCAGTTTTTTGCGTCAACTCAAAAACATTCCCGACATTGAATAATTAAGAAGAATATGGCTCTTACAGTGTCAATATTGGGACGACATTTAGGTTCCCTTCCGATGCAAATTGTTGCAGCTAAAACCATTCTATTGAACTCATCATGATCATATGCATTTAGCAACCTCACATCTAGCAATTCAACATCTTTCCCGTTCTTCAAAATTTGTTTTGCCTGCAAGTAAGCTCGATGAATACAAAACAAATAATAATAACAATAATAAACTTGGCAATTATTTCCAATTCAATCCCGAAGAACTTATCAATTTGGAGAAGCCAATTTCAAGATTGATAAGAGAATACAACTTACCCAGAGGACCAGGCTTCCTTGGCCCATAGCATGTGCATTGCCAATTGGTTTTCTACCAGACAGAAGTTCAAGCAAGACAACGCCTAATGCATATACATCAACTTTTTCATCTAACTTTCCATGCATGAAATATTCTGGAGCCAAATATCTGTAAACGAAAAAAATGGTTATTAGCCAAGTTTGTAAGGATAATAAATACTTACAAAAAGTTAACAAAACTTACCCAAATGTTCCAGCAACATCAATACCATCCAATTTGCTTGATGAGCATGAGGCAGATGTTGCAAGTCCAAAATCAGAAAGCTATAAAATACATTGATAGATGTTAATGGTATAGTTGTATAGTGAAGATCATAATAATCTCTTCAAAGAAAAATGCAGCACCTTTGGCTCAAAATCATTTGAAAGAAGAATATTTGAGGATTTCACATCCCGGTGTATCACAGGTACATTGGTTGAATTGTGTAAATGGTCCAATGCCTTAGCAACTCCTAAGGCAACTTTGAACCTATCTTGCCAACCAAAGAAAGCCCCAACATTCTGTGTACCTGTTTCAAAACATAATCAATCATTCATCACCATAGTAAAACCAAAAAGGTCTTTATAAGATCGCATACACACATAAAAGAATACCATGGAGATTGTCTTCAAGGCTTCCTCTGGATAACAGATCATAAACCAACAGAAAATTGTTTTCTTCAAAGCAAAACCCAAAAAGTGAAATTATGTTCTCATGGTGTAAAGTAGTAAGAATCTCTATTTCTGAGAAGAACTGTTTTTCCAAAGCGTCAGAGGGCTTCAAGATTTTCACTGCAAGGTCTGTTCCATCAGGAAGGCTCCCTTTGTAAACAGTACTGCTCCCACCCTTTCCAATTAAATTCTCTGAAAGTATTAAGTAAAGCAATGAATAATATTCAGCCCAAAACCAAAAAGCATGGAAAAGTGAGAGAGCCTTTTGGATGACTTATTTTCATACTGGGTAGAATAATTTTAGAGGGAAAAAATACGTTAACTTCAAAAAAGAAGTGTTGGCTGGAAAACACAATGGTGATATTAACAGTAAAAAGCAGCAGGTTGGTGGTCTTTTGAAACAAACGAATGAAAAAGTCATTAAGTGGTTTAATGTGACGATAAGTTATCCCAAAAAGGTTCTAAGTAACATCAATTCAATATTAAGGTCACATACCAGGCATGAAATTTGACGTAGCCAATACGAGCTCTTGGTATCCAAACAATCTGCAAGTGGAAGAATATTTTGCCGAAAGACCTGCCAGTTCTTGGTGAACTAAAGATGATGTATGAACCGGGGCAGGCACGGCTGCTTCACTAATTTCATTCACCATAAATTGTCTTTCATCAGAGTGACCTCTTAGCCTTAGAACCCATTGCACAACAGAAAACTTGTTTGGGGAAGGATTTCCAGAATCTTTATGGTTCTGGAAAAAGACTCTTCTAAGGAATGTCCATCCTGGTCTGGATTCAGACACATTCACAATCTTTACTGGCACAAGAGCCATAGAATTACCCAAATGACATTTGGGTAATGTCTTCCTCTTCCTAAATCTTGATTGGGACATGCCAGGAGTACAAGACTCATGACTAACCGAAAGATTTGTTTCACTCCGAAATGTTACCTTGCCATTATCTACTGCAAGAACTGAGATGTTCTTGTTAACATTCCTGGCACAATACTTAGCAACAGAAACAGATGAATGGGCAGCAAGGTGGGTCCCTGAAGTACCCAGAATCAAAATCGATGCTCTGCAAGTCTCCACTTCTCGTGCAAGAATTTTACGAGTTGGAGACCCTCTGCACACCCTCAGTTTCAGGTCAACCTAAGAAAATCTTTGATTATGACCCATAATTCAAGAATTGGAAATAATAATTCGCTATGTCCAATAATTATTACCCACTATATCAATTATAAAATTTTCTTATCATTATGTTTTTAGAAAGATCTTGTCTGGTGAGGATCGTTTCTCTTCTTAAACATAAATCCCAATTACACAATTTACTTTCTGGATCAAAATTTTGGGAGGAAGTAAGAAAATGGAACGTGTGAGCTTCAGATCCATGTATAGAGGATTTTACTATGACCAATAAATGGAGAATTCAAATAAGCAATTAATATGAGAATTTAATGCAGACTATTGGTATAGCCTGAATTCCCTGAAATGTGGAAAAAAGCTACCTGGTGTAATAAAGAACCTTATCTGGCATGGTATTAATTAAATGTTAAAAATAAATACAAATATAATAAAATCAAATCAAAACTTATACGAAAACGGACCTGCTTCAAGTTGCAGAAGCCTTCATAAGCGGCCAGCACCGAATCAAACGTCTTCACCAATCTTAGCATCTCCGATTTATCTGTCGGCAACACCAAACAGTGAAGATTCGAGGGCAAACTAAAATGCTACTCCAATTATTTACAGGTAAAACGAAATCTGAGAAAAATAAACTAAAATCGAAGTGTATAAGTAAGAAAAGTTCGCACCAGTGTCGGAATCGAGAACATGGAGAGCGATTATACGGTCTCCGGTTTGCGCAACCTTCACCAAAGTCCAAGTCAGAAGCTCTTTGCTTCGCGAATCCATCTTTACCCCAACAACCACCACCGCTCCGCCGCCGCTGCTGCCACCATTGCCACCAATAGTTCTGAACTCTGC